AAATCCATGATTTGTCATCTGACTTTAACACCATCTAATTTTCCATCCATTTTAAGGGTATTTTAGTCTTTACATTTTCCAAAAAAAAGATACCTCTCTCTCCCTTTCTCCCCCATCCCAACCCCACCCACCCCCAAAACACATCGCACAAGACCCCTACTTCTCTCTATCTCTGTTTCTATCTATCTCTCTCTCTCCACAAATTTTCAATATGCAAATGGAAAAATACCAAAAAGAAAAAATAATAAGAAAAAGGTAGACTTGGTTTGGGTGGGCTGAGGGAATTTGTGTGTGGAGGAGGGTAGGTGTTCTATGGTTGAGAGAGAAGAAGGAAGTGGGAATGGATTTCAAGGTGGGCGGGGTTGGTCGGAGCCACCGATGCCACGCATGGGATGGGGGAAGGTGGGATTTTTTTTATACACAATTTTTTATATAGTTATTTTTCCATTTTTAAAATACTCGTGAAAATGGAAAGACTGAAATATCCTTTAAAATGGATGAAAAATTGGATGGTGTTAAAGTCAGATGACAAATCATGGATTTAAAAAAATTAAGGTGACATTTTTCTTAAATTTTTCTTTAGGGTGACAAATTGAAATTGAGGTATAAGTTTAGGTGACATTTCTACAAAAATTTCAATTATAAGTACCTTCAATAAATACGATTGGTAACAAAATGGGTAAACTACTTTTGATTAAATGATGACGAAATATTTCATCAAGCTAAGTTATCACTCTCTGAATGATTATAAGATGTATGGAGATGGGTTGAAGGTTAGAACAAATGTGAATTAAGGGCCCATTGGGTTTCTTATTTATGTCAACAAATTGGGGTGTTTGTAAGGGATTTCAAATGATTAAGTTAGAGCTTTGTTGAGGCCCAAAAAAGTCACGAGAAGCCTAAAGACATTTAAGGCCCGATATAAAAGATAATGTTGGTCATGCATTAATCCAAGCTGTATTTTGGGAATTAATTCATTAAATAAATAATAGTGTCCATGCCATGCGAAGCCAATAATACATTTTTCTTATATCAATCACTTATCAAGCTCACATGAACCCAAGTCATGTGGTTTATGGGGCTTGCATGAGGGATTGTGGTGTGGAAGGTTACGGAGGTCCACAGGGCCCACGGAAGCTCTTGGATAATGGAGACTTTGGCTAGCTACTTGGGAGCACCAAAATCCAAGCCCATTACTTAGAGTTCTCCAATGTGGGTAAGCAAATGAGATATTTTCCAAGCATTTCCTTTTATCCATAGGATATAGTCATTTTCCAAATACATAGCTTTACCCATTGGAAACAAGCCTTTTCCAGCACTCCCTATTACCCGTTGGAAACAAGCCTTTTCTAGCACTCCCTATTACCCACTGGAAACAAGCCATTTCCAGCGCTTCCTTTTACCCATAGGAAATAATCAGTTTATGGTACCTAGCCTCACCTGCTGGAAAATAGCATGCCCCAGCGCTCCCTTTTACCCATTGGAAATAGGCTGGTTCCAGCACCTCTCTTTGCCTATTGGAAACCAAAGAGAGCCTTCCCCCTCTATAAATTGGGAGGCATTTGCCCAGCCAAAACCAACCTCTCTTGGTTGTTGCAAGCTTCTCAACAACCATGAGAACTCATCTTCTTTTATCTTTTTGGCTGCTGCAAGCAATCCAGCAGCCATCCCAGCCATTAACCTCCATCTTTTGACTGCTGCAAGCATCCCAGCAGCTGTCAACCAACATCTCTTGGTTGCTCAAGCCCCCAGCAACCATCGAACCACTTCCCTTTCTCCCTTTGGCTGCTGCAAGCGTTCCAGCAGCCATCCTAGCCATTCCTCAACCATCACAACCAAGATTTTCCTTCCTCCTCATACCCTTCCAAGTTATAAATACCATAGCCTTCAAGCCTCAAGCTTTTCCTCCCATCCTCATCTTGAAACTCTTAAATCTCCATAGCCATAGCCACAAATAACAAATCATCAATACCCCAAACTCAAGCATATCCAACACCAAGCCAAGCACATGCATTCTCATTTGCTAAACTTGTGAATCTTTAGCTCCCACACTCCAAGCTCTCATGCCAAGCTAATATAATCTCAGATTTACATTAGCAAGTCATCTTCAACTTTTCGTTAAGCTGACGGAAACGTCAACATCAAACACGGAGCAGCTGGAAGAAGAACAGAGTACTCCCCTGGGACATGCTTTTCCCTCGGGATGCTTTGGGCCTAGTCCTCGCTAACTCAGAAAAAGGGGCAATGAAGGCTTGATCCACCGTTCTATGGCAGTCCGAGAATCAACAATCCCGAACGAGCCTTCCAACGGACAAAGACCCCAACAAGCTTAAAAGTGAGAATCAAAATCAAGCTGAACTTGGAAAATAATTAAGAGGTCATGCCCCTCTGTATTGTAGGAAAAATTACAAAATGAGAGGAAAATAAAGAAGGGTATGAGATATAGAAAGTGGGTTTTGAACCAAAAAAAGAAAGATATAGAAAGTGGGTGAGTAAAGGAAGGATAAATCCTAGGGGAAAAATATTAAAACGAAAACTATCACAAAGTCACATGATTAATTTAGGGGTGGAGGAAGAAAAATCACATGAGTCACGATATATATATATATATGGATACCTTTTCTTTCTTGGCAAGATAAATGATAAGTAGATCAAAATGATGTAAAAGCATCTCCAACAACCTCTTCAACAGTTTTGAAATACTAAAATAGGTGAGCCATATCATCAAAACTCCCTTCAACAGTCTTGTCAAACTCTATCATTAAAGCTGCAATCTCTTTCTCTCTCTTTAAGCCTAATAAGTTGACATTGGCTCTTCAAAATATTTAAACATAAAACCTACCTTGAAAATGTTAAAAACATGCATTTTTTCTTTTCAAATGATAACTACATGGACATTTTTCACATGTTTTCGTTCTTTTTCATAACATTACATTAATTGAATTGAAGAGTCTGTTGGGGCAGAAATTATTAAAGTATCAAACAAAGCTTTTCAAATTGCCACATAAGTCAACAAACTTCAATTTGAAAATTTTGATTTGCTACTACTGTTGGAGATGCTCTAATCTTATATTTGACTTTTCAAATGAATTCGAGTTTGATTAAAAGTAATACAATCCTTTACTTTATAAAGACAAATTGGATAACTTAAAACAAAATCAAGAGGTTTGTAGTTCATGCGATAAAAAACATTCAGCTATGCAATCGTGGTTTTGTCTTAAAATTCCCATCTCCATTATCATTTGTATAAAAAAAAAACTTAATCTAGAAAAACTAAAACTACGTACTTGAGCTTAAGCCTGAAACACGACCTAAAAATATTGAAGTACCTTTGACACAAGCCTTAAACGTACGACCTTAAACTCCATCTTAAACTCGTGATCTTAAATCTGAGACTTGCTATGCATGAACCCTCGATACCAAACAAAAAATAACATTATATAACCAATGTAGCTTTTTAGTAGCATGTTAAAATTATATTAATAATTCACTATGAGATTGCATATTTATTTATTTTGATACAAGAGATATTGAGGAAGGGGGAATTGAACCTATGACCTCGATTGCAATTTGCATGAGTAAATGATTAAGCTACTTACGCAATTTTAGATTTGTGTGTACTCCATTTGTTTCAAATAATTTTGTTTTTTTATAAGTTTTACTAGCCTCTCCGCACGCGCTTCCGCGCCTGCGAGATGCTTTTAAAAAAATTAAATTAAATTAATTCTAGAATTAAAAAAGATAATGGATAGTTGTGTTCCATAAAAATAGACTCATTATCTGATTTTTCTTTTAATTTTAATTTTTTTAAATATGAAAAAGGTGTGAATTTATCATATTATCCTCATTTAATTAATAATTTTAATTCTTAATATTTGGATTAACCAAGGGCATTTTCTGGTATTTTGAATGTTTCACTATTCTCTTCATTTTGCTTTATATATTTACTAGCCTCTCCGCAAGCACTTCCGCGCCTGCGAGAGGCTTTTTTAAAAAAAATTAAAATTTATTTTAGAATTAAAAAAGATAATGGATAGTTGTGTTCCATAAAAATAGACTCATTATCTGATTTTTCTTTTAATTTTAATTTTTTTAAATATGAAAAAGTGTGAATTTACCATATTATCCTCATTTAATTAATAATTTCAATTCTTAATGTTTGCATTAACCAAGGGCATTTTCTGGTATTTTGAATGTTTCACCATTCTCTGCCTTTTGCTTTATATATATAGATAAATTTTATAATGTTTTTGGAACTAGATTAGAATATAAATCACAATAACGATTTATGGATTTGTATTTTATTATCAAAATCATTAAAATTGAGAATTAAGATAATTCAAATAATTCCTTGCACACAAAAAAGAAAAATCCTTATTAAGAAAAAACAAAATATAATTCAAATATAATAATTAATGGATTATGCCGTTAGTCTGTTATGTGGCATGAGCTTAACACGTAATTATGGATTTGTAGCGTCGATCACGATCTCTCTCTCTCTCCTTCTCTACATGCAGAACGTGGATATGGCGTCCCTTCAATTTTCGAAAATTAACCAAAACTTCAGAGTCACAGCATTTGATTCCTTTCAATTGCTTCTCATTCTTCTTCACGACTCTACTACCCGCTCTCAATAGCTTCATTTCCCGCACTTTCCATCTAAATTTTTTTTCCAATTTCCAATTTTAGGGTTTTCATTTTCTGGAGAAATTTTTGTTCTCATCATTTGAATATTGTTTTTTTTTGTGTGTACATTTTTGGGGCAACAATTCAATTTCTTGAATTTCGTTTATTGTAATTTGTCGAAATTTCGATTTTCTGGAAGAAATTTTGATTCAATTTATTCACAGTTGATTTTTGAGATATATCTCGAAATTTGGGCGTTTCTATACGTTTTCGGATGCAATGTTTTAATTTTTGCCATTGAATTTGTGGGAAAAATTGAATTTTGGGGTGCTTTTGTGGGAATTTGAACAGAACAGGGTGCAATTGGGATTTCCTAACATATGCTGTTGGGCGCAAAGAATCGAGCTAGGTTTTGTTCAGGTCCCTGATCTGACCGCAGAGGTAGGGACTTGATTGGATTGTTCTTTGTAGTTAATGGGATTCAAGAAGATTGATTTGGATGTTGAAGTTCATAGAGGGAGCTGAGATTGGTATTTTTGTTTGATGGGGAACACATGTGTAGGACCAAATCTTGGTGGTGGGTTTTTGCAATCTTTTACTGCTGCGGTTTGGCGAAACCGGCCACCAGAGGACAGGCTTCCTCCTCCTAAATCTAAGGAAGAAAACAGTAGTAAAAATGGCCCAAATTCAAATCATGATTCATCTAAAGGTTCTGAATCTGATGCTCCTAAAGCTCCTCCTGATCAGGCTCCTAAAGCCATTGAGGCTCCCCAAAACCCAGTTCAAAGCACACCGCCTGAAACTGTGAAAATTAATGATGATCCACCTCAAAAGGCAGAACCTGAAAAACCCAATAAGCCAGAGGTGAAGGAGGAGGTGAGTAAGCCCCCTGATGCTGAGAAACAGAAGAAACCTGCTCACATGAAGAGGATTTCGAGCGTCGGGCTGCAAGTCGAATCGGTGTTAGGAAGGAAGACTGGCAATATAAAGGATGTTTATAGTTTGGGACGGAAGCTTGGGCAAGGGCAATTTGGGACAACGTTTCTTTGTGTAGAGAAGGAAACCAATAAAGAGTTTGCTTGCAAGTCAATTGCAAAGAGGAAATTGACGACACAGGAGGATGTGGAGGATGTTAGGAGGGAAATTCAGATAATGCATCACTTGGCAGGTCACCCCAATGTGATACAAATAATCGGTGCTTATGAGGATGCTGTGGCGGTTCATGTTGTGATGGAACTTTGTGCAGGTGGGGAGCTTTTTGATAGGATTATACAAAGGGGGCATTATACAGAGAGAAAGGCAGCCAGGCTTGCAAGGGTTATAGTTGGTGTTCTCGAAGCATGCCATTCTTTAGGTGTCATGCATCGGGACTTGAAGCCAGAGAATTTTCTATTTGTCAATCAGGATGAGGAAGCACCACTTAAGACAATAGATTTTGGGCTCTCGGTGTTCTTTAGGCCAGGTATGATGCCATATTCGTGGAAGATAGAGTTATATTCGTCTATGGAATCCATATGGAAAAAATTGGATGCAAATTTTGTTGCTCGACCCTATTGTCATAAATATGTGAAAGAGATATATGCTTTGGCCTCATACTACAGCTGGTATTTGGTTGTGGTAGAATTCACTTACTATTTCTTCCATTTTATCTTGTTTGTTTACTTTGATAAGTGCAAGGTTCTTGATTTTATACTTCTACAGTGGTTATGTGGAGTAGGCTCTACCATGTTTCTCTTATGATTGCTTCTGAAGTGATCTGAAGAATTAAATGTAAGGATCTATGTTCTTAAAGTAAAAATCTGTTGACCATAAGTGCGAAGATATTTGGCACATATATAAGCAACCAATCTTTATCCAAGATGAGAATGGAAAACAGAGGTGTGTGGATGGGAATGTACTGGGAGAGGTAAGAGTGTTAAAGGTCGTGGCAGGGTAGATATCATATGTTAAGAGTTGGGGTGTGTGTCGTTGGAGAAGGAGGCGGACGAGTGATGTAACTGCTAAGAGATGAAACAGTGGATGGCTTTGTATAATATTATGGTATGATAATGAGCAAAATCATTGTTGAAGCTCAAAAGACGAAGGATTTGGTATTGCTTGATGTGAAATTGATTCTAGTGTATATTTCAGGGGTTTATTCTTTCGGTAGAACTTAGCTTTCCCTTTTCTTCCTTTTTTAAGTCTTGGTTTAAAATTTCAAGAACTGGCAGGTTTATTCGATTTGGGTTGGTTGCTTCTACATGTAGCCTATACCGCACTTTGTAAGATTACTGGAGACAAAGGTTGCCCTCCCCTTAAAGATTCATCACCAAATGTCAAGTCTACGCATGTGTAACAGCCATTTTGGGGATTTTTGTGGCTAACCTTTAGGTGCTTTTGTAATGCTATGATGTTTTCTCAGGTTTTAAGCATTTGCTGCGTCTTTCCAAAATCTGTAGTATTTGAATATTCATGGCCAAAAAAAAGTTTTCAAATATAGAAGAAATAGAAAATAATGATAGGTAACGCTTATGCTTATAAGGTTAGCTGAACTATGATAGCTGGATTGGACGGAGAAATCCCATTTGTTTATTTTCCTTTGGTATATGATTTTCTGGCTCATTTCATTATTAATTTAACGTGTATATGGCTTGTGTACATGGTGTGCTACCACTAAACCAAACTGTTGCTTGTGTAAATGGGTTGCAGCCGTTTCTGGCTCATTTATAAAAAGTCGTGCCCACATGCTAAGTGAAGACCACAGAGGGATGTAATCCTAATACACTAACTATTCTAAAGAGAGTTCTTTAGAATAGGGATATAGTTTGTGATTTAATCTTCGAATATCGTTAAGTGATTGATAACCATGCCAAATGCCATTATTGTTTCCTATTCAAATGATTCATTCCCATGCCTCATATATGGCTGCTGCAAGTCAGTATGTTTAAACTTTAAAGTTTCCAGTCATTCTCTTTTGTAAATTTTATATTTTCCTAAAGTCAGCAACATGTCTAACTGTTACTTTTTCTCATTGGAACTTATTCAACGTAGTTAACATTGCTAGCCTGAATTCTGTCCATGTCTAAATTGTAACAAAAAACCCATCCTCCCAGGAGAAACATTTACTGATGTTGTTGGGAGCCCGTATTACGTGGCTCCAGAAGTACTACGAAAGCTTTATGGTCAAGAATGTGATGTTTGGAGTGCTGGCGTGATCATTTATATCTTACTCAGTGGAGTGCCCCCATTCTGGGATGGTGAGAATATCATGGCTTTGATGTATTGAATATTCATTGAAATTTTATCCATATGAGAATTACATCTAATTTCTAGTTTGCTTATGATGTCCTGGATCAGAAACGGAGCAAGGTATATTTGAGCAGGTTTTGAAAGGCGAACTTGATTTCATATCAGAACCATGGCCCAGCATATCAGAAAGTGCTAAGGATTTGGTTCGGAGAATGCTTGTGAGGGACCCAAAAAAGCGGCTAACGGCCCATGAAGTTCTTTGTGAGTAAAATTTCTCTGCACGTTGGACTTCTTGTTGCAACCTAAAAGTTTCATTTGATCATGTCATTAGGGATAACGGACAAGTGTTTCTTATTTAACTGGGTGGTGCAATATTAATTGTGAACAGTTCAAAATTTCATTTACCAAGGTGATAAGTGATTGAGAAATAGACTACCTGAGAATGATCAAATATAGGGATGGATTCTCCATTGTAAATGTAACCCAATCAACATAAGCGGAAGCATTAGTTAACCTAAGTGGTTTCTCTTCTTAAACATCTCATAGAACATAATCAAGGACTTGAAAAGGCAGATCACGAGATGCAGTTTATTGAAGATATTTCTCAATATTTCTTTTTCATTGTAAGAGGTAATTTTTTCAGAAGTATCTATTAGTCCAATCATTACATGATAATATGAAAGTGTAAACATAGTTAGCCTCACAATTGGTTTTTTGGAAATTTACTTGGCCTTGTTGTTTGCATATTATGCCTTTAGCGCCTTTTATGATTTATGTTAAGAGGGTGTTTGCAACTTGGTTTTTGCTATGTCAAGTAAAATTTCTTCGTAATCAATAGTAGATAACTGGATACATAATTGAAGGTGGCAAATGCTTATCTAATTCTGTTCAAACTTTTCGACCTTAGCATGTTCTCAGCATTTCTTCTATCATGAATCGTAGTGTTGCATTAAGTAGCACTTTTTTCCTCGTGCAGGCCACCCTTGGGTTCAGGTAGATGGTGTTGCTCCTGATAAACCTCTTGATTCTGCTGTCTTAACTCGCTTGAAGCAATTCTCGGCCATGAACAAACTCAAGAAAATGGCCATAAGAGTGAGTATCATCCTTAAATTTTACAACATTAAAAGATGTTAAGGTCAGGTTTGGATGGTTAGGGTATTGTCATTCAATTTTTCTGTAACAGTATTGATTCATTCTAGTGTGTTGCATTACAAAGTACAAGCACACAAGGATGTCATGTGTCTGACATGTTATAGTTGTTACAAAGCTATTTGTTATGCAATGCGATAGTTACTATATCTATATAAGCTCTTCTCAGAGTATTTTTTTGTAAGTGACGAATCTTGGTCTGGTTGCCTAGACTTTGTTGATAATTGGAAAGCAGAAGCAAACAAGTTTGATACCACTGCTGGCAGTCTAATCATTTCCTGCCTGAAGATTTTTGTGATATCTTGTTCTGTATTTGGGTATGACTTGCCCATCTTTGTTTGTTTTGTAGGTCATTGCAGAAAGCCTCTCTGAAGAGGAAATTGCAGGCCTGAGAGAAATGTTCAAGATGATAGACACAGATAATAGTGGGCATATCAGCCTTGAGGAACTGAAGACTGGCTTGGAAAGAGTGGGTGCTGATCTCAAGGATTCTGAAATCAGTTGGTTAATGCAAGCGGTAAGTGCTAGGTTTGGACACAGAACTTTTTGTAGTCGTGTAGCAAACATGCTCTGTTTATAAGAGTTTTTATAGCCAAAAATACAAGTTGCCTTGTGTGCCGAGAGCAAGCCTTTCAGTCTACATAGCTATTTTTTTTTCCATTTCTTTTCGGATTTTTAAATTTTTAGTTCTACTTAAATAAATGAGGCCAATACGGGTTGAATTCAGGAGACTGGGTGAGTTGGATTAGGTTGATCAATTAGATTACAGAGTTCGTGTAATATTTAAAGTTATGTGCAAAGTTATCTTAATGAAGGAAAGCAATAAGACGATTATTGTTAAATAAGAATTCTGTAAGACTTAGCAAGCTTCGTATGGAGGGGTTTTAGCACTCTATGAACAATAAGAAGGTTTAAGTATAGAAACAGTAGAGCGTGGGAGAGAGAAATTGGGGTTTCAATTACTATATTATCCCTAGTTTAAATTTATTGCTTGTTTAATATAAGAGAGGCATAATTGATACTTCTGTGTTCCAATTGATGGAGGAGTTTTCTTAACAGTTGGTATATTCAGCCAGGTGAATTGCAAGATGACCTGGCTGAATATTTCCCATGTGTCTAGGCTGGTAAGCAAATTAATTAGCAATTTTCTGTTTCTCGATTGATGAAGGATTTCCTTTTCTTATAAAAATTTCAGGCGGATATAGACAACAGTGGTACCATAGACTACGGTGAATTCATAGCAGCAATGCTCCACCTAAACAAGGTCCAGAAGGAGGATCACCTGTATGCAGCATTCTCGTACTTCGACAAAGATGGAAGCGGGTACATCACTCGGGATGAGCTGCAACAGGCCTGTGAGAAGTTTGGATTAGAAGATGTTCAGTTAGACGACATCATACGAGAAGTTGACCAGGATAATGTAATTGACTCCCCTGCTCAATTTTCACCTCTTGCGGGTACAAAATTGTTCACAGAAGTTTCGAACTGATTTATTCTCTTTTTCAGGACGGGCACATTGATTATAACGAGTTTGTCGCCATGATGCAAGACACCGGTTTCGGCAAGGGATTGCAAAGTAACATGAGTAGAAAGGTAGGGTGAGTCTCCGATTCTCAGGAAGCCATCAAGCATAAGAAAAAAAGAATCAACGGCACAGTCTATGTAGTCAATATGTACTAATATTTGCTCCTTCATAAAAAAGGGAATTAAGAGAACTAGAGATGCATACTGTTGTAGAGATCAGCCAGCAGGTTTCAGGGGGTGAGAGAGAGAGAGAGAGAGAGAGAGAGAGAGAGAGATAGTGCCCTGTTCTTTCTTTTCTTCTAGTGCTCTCATTTTGTATTTACCATTTAGTTTTCTGTTCACTATTTCTTTTTCACTTTGGAATTGACTGTAGCATGCCACTTATTTTTTGAAGTTATTTGTAATTGAATCCATTTTTCTCTTGTACTTGTCTTTTTATCATCTATTTTTGATACGTAATTAAAGGACGTCCATGCGTTTAGAAGCTTGAATTTATGGTTCAGATTTCTGATTTTGACAAGGTTCCCTAACCTACTTTATATGTTCTATATAATTAAATTTCCAGATGACAAACAGATAGGTACTTACTGTTTGATCGTTTTCGGAGGTTATGCATAACAGATGTACAAAATTTTTTGCAGAGAAAACGACGGAGGTAGCATGTAGTCATATAAACCAAATACGCTGAACTAATTTGATGGATGTGGGTAGCTCACTTTGCATTGTATTTTAATGATCTCAACCGTCAATCTTTGGAGTATTTTCTTAAAATTTGACTTCATGAAAGATACGCATACAAAACGGAAGACCACTTAACCATTTGATTAAGTTATCATATCTTAATGTCTTTATGATTTACAATTTCTCCAACTCTTTACAAGAAAAAAATTGTAATCGAAAAACTTTAGAGATTTACGGCTCGAATCACTGTTATATAATGCGTAATGCACTTTACAAGATCTGGTGTAAAAGTGAATTTGGTTTTGGTTATAAATGCACCTCATATATATGTACATATCATATGTCTGTATGTGAGTGGTACGTACGTACTGTCAAAGTGCAAAATGTCCATATCCGTCATCGTTGATTGATAGGGCCTAGAGAGAGAAAGAGAGAGAGAGAGAGAGCACATACTGAAACTGAACCATCAAATTTGTCTAATATGCACCAGCTGCTTGCCATTAAATTTAAATTATTGCTGTTAGGTTGTCCACAGTACTCAAAATGGAACCACACGTGATGTCAACACAGTGATCATACAGACAAGGGATATGCGCTTCACATCGAGTCTTAAGAGATGATCACTTGAATTCCATCGGTTAGATAGGGTTTTAGTGGGAAATTAATGCATGTTTTTGATACAAAGTGACAATGAAGGAGGAGGGATTCGAACATAGCCTCGGATACAAGAATAACTGCTATATATTAACCGCTTAAGCTATAAGTTTCTTGTATCGAAAAATATATATAAATAACAGATAGCAAAGAAGTTTTCTTTTAAGTTGATGATGGATCCGAGGTTTTCCTTTAATTTCCAAGAAGAAAAAAAAGGCAACCTAGTATACTTTCCCTTTTCTTTTTATTTTCATAATTTGGTTTCAGCAATGGCTCGAAGCACATGATATTTGACCTACCACAAACCATCTTTTTCCATTGCATATACAGCTTTTGATGAACTTTCTAAAAACTGTATATCACACACACACACACCAACTTTTAATTCATCCTTCACTTTCAAGCCCTCTTTCTTATGGGATGAAAACGAGAGAGAGAAGAAGAAGAAGAAGAAGAAGAAAATAAGAAAAAAGTTGTGAGTCCCACCAATGACACCTTTTCCTGCTGTCAATTTCACCTTTGCATTATTCGGACCACTTCCTTTTTTCTTTGTAGAAATATTTTCTCATTGAAATTAAAACAGAAAGAAACAGCCTGTGTTGGATTGGATGAAGGTGTCCCATACAGCCTTTTCCCCGATTGCTCTCTCACAATCAAAATCCTCGAGGACACCATGCATATGATGTTTGTACGTTCATTTTGGTTTTTGTATTTTATGCGACAAAAGTCAAATAAGTCATCAACTTCATTTATTTTTTAACTTTTTTCTATGTTAATATAAAGTACGTACTACTTGGTACTCTCCAAGTGGGTCTTTCATTTTAAATAGTAGGGTATAGAACTATTGGAAAAAAAATTATAGTAGTACCAAACTCTTATTTACGGTGCAGGTGCACGCAAACGAATCTTAGGGTTTAGGGTTTAGGGTTTAGGGTCCCTAAATCTTACTTGTTAGAAATAAATGTGATTTAAAGTTAATCCAAATTTAAATAAATAACCGAGTCACTTGACAAACAAAACCAAGGGAATAAATTTGTCTATTTCAAGATCCCATTTTTTATTATAAATATTTATAAAGCATTCCTTTTGACATCGGCTCCGATTCTTTAATTATGGGATTTCATTTCAAGCATATATATATATATATATATGCATACTCAATAATATTGTTGTAGTAGCTATATATATAGGGAAGGTGGAGTTAGCTCAAACTTCAAATTTAGGTCTATCAATCAAGCCCTTTATTGCTCAAAGGTGTTTTTTTAAGTGGGAATCTTTCATTCACAACAAAAGTTTTGTGTCACCATAGCTGGACTTCTGCCATCTGTTCTTCTTAGTGGGAGGCTGCAACAAGTGATGTGAAAACCACTTTTTTTTTGTTTTTTTGGTCCTTGTAATGGATCTAAGTGGTGCATGCTGAATCTTGAGTTTGATTTTGCTACGATGCCTTTATTAAATAATCAGAAACCAAATAGGCATCACTACCCTAGTGCCATAGCCACTTCCAATTCACTCATTGCTGGTGATGCATCTTGCCCAATCCACCATTTTCTTCCACTAGGGTTTAGGGCCTTCCACTTCTACTAAATAATTGAGATTATACTTTTTAGGTGCATAAATACTTTACCCTTTCTTCATCCCCAAAATACAAAGCTTCTTTTGCACTTTTAACATTTGACTTTCTACATCAGTTGTATATGCGAGCTGTAAATTAAAATATTTTAAGTTTGAATATTCACAAACGGAAATGTATATTCTCGAATTATCTTGATATTAGTGATTCACGAGTTATGATAAGTACCTATAATTTTTCTTAAAATTTTGTGCGTGATAAGATAAGAAGACGGAACGAGAAGATAAGAAGAAAGAAAATTCCTAATCTGTATTACTTTTTGCCGTTTTCATCTTTTGCCCATCCAATTCCTTTTGTGCTGGCTTCCTTCCACAGAAAGGTTCTCCAACTTTTAAAGCTTTTGTGTTTGTGTGTGGTCTGCAAATTGAATTTCATAATTCCTCCACCTGCTTTGCACTTGGTTGTGCAATGCACATGCATGAAGGGACCAAAAAGGAGCCAAAAAGATTGAGTCACAATGCTATCAGCTGCGTGATCTTGAGAACCACGTGTAAACACCACAGGGGATCGAGCCATTTGATTTGCCTACGTGTCATGGCATTTGTGGTGCTGGACTCACAGCCACTGAGGCATCAAGTCAAGTTGGACCGTATGTGGCTGGGCGATTGCTGACCCTACACGTGGAAACCGCGTGATAGCTTCAGCTTGTATTAATAACAACTGTTGCCACTGGTACAAATAATATGCTGGCTAAGATCCTCTCAGGACACTCGACCTCACCTCAGACTGACTGCCTAATCCCTTGCAGTCACATCTTTGTCACGTGCCTTTCCCTCAGTTGGACGGCACCGCCTCTGAGATTTGGAGGGAGAAAAGTTTTCAACAGATTTCTTTGTTTTTGCTTGTTTGTTTTTATTTTGAAAAAAAAAAAAAAGAAGAGAAAATTCGACAATGTATTTCGTTATGGATAACAATTATTATTTTTATTTACTTATACCGGATAACAATTAGTTTTAGGGTATGTTTGGTACACGTTAATGTTATAACATGTGCAATTAATTATTAATAAATATTAGACTCTAACACCACGTGACAGTGTGATCGACCTAAAAAATTTATCCTAAACTCACAATTAGAATTTCTTGGATCAACATATGATTAATTAACATAAATTCTAACGAGCAACACAATTCAATTAGTCTACAATCTTATTCAGTCTATTTGAATATGACCTAAACTCCACCATGCATAGTCTTCAACGTTCTTGCCTCCATTCCAGTGTCTTTGGAAACCCTAACAACAACAGAAAGCAACACACGCAAACAACACATGAACCTTAAAAGTAGCATTGATGTATAGTTCCTACGTTGCATGGACACAAATACGGCGACATGGATACGCAATACCGGGACATGGAAAAACAGCAAATCTCAAAAAATTAGGACACGAGGACACAATAATTAATTTTTTTATATTATAATTATATTTGTATATATGTATTAAACAAAAACAAAATATTGATGTTCATACTCCAATTTCACAATAACATATATAGTGAAATTCATGCTTTTCAAGCTTTTCAAATATAGTTTATTAATTTTATATGAATTATAATTGAATTAACACATTAGTTGACCATGAGTATGAGTTGATTCATATCCAAAGAGTGTCTTGATCGTGTATGGAGAGTGTGTTAATCATGAACACGGCTTTGACTGTTGAACACGGATATTCGAGAAGTGTCTGAGTGAGTGTCAGACACTCTGACACTTGGGCATAATAAAGTGTCCATTCAACATAGATGAAAACTACAAATAATATGACGAAAACGTTGTAGAAAGGAAAATCGTTTTCTTTATTTGGAGCTAAATAAAGGGGTATCCTTGAGGATGGGAACCAGCTGGTTAATCATTCTTAGGAGCGTTAACAATAGGGTGCCACGAGGCAGGATTTGGTGGAGCCATCGAATTCGAGGGTTACCTACCATGGAACAACCACCGCAGCTCCTCCTTCATCATCCTTATCATCAGGAACCACCAAAATTGTCCTTTTGGCTTTTGGGGCCACTTTTTGTCCGAACCCTAGCTATTTCTGGATACCTATCACCTGCCAAATGGTCCATCAACCCATCCCTTCACCCCTAAATTACTACTCTACCCTTCCACTCCTTTTCTTTTTAGGTTTGCCCTTCAGTATTTGCTCTAATTTGACATGTATTTTATATTTCATGAAAAAATCATAATAATTTATCAAGATATATAAAAAACAGCTAGCAGGATAAGGCATTATCCCTTTGCCCAACATGCCAAAAATAATTTCGACGATGCTTCAGACTACAGTTCCCTCTGGATTGCTCTAAAATTTATATGAATTTGGCCAAACGCACCCCAGCCAGCCACAGAGAAAATTCAAGGATTTTGAGTGACCAAATTGCATTCATGAAAATACCAACATATATAGCACCAAAAAGAGACTTTTTGTCATTCATCTGTCGATGTTTAAATAGTTTTTGGTTTAG